TCGACTTGGGCGTGCGTTGGAAGAACGACGGCGTGCGCCTCGTCTTTGGGCTGGTGCCGGACGACTCTGTGGAGGCGGTGAGCGTCTGGGAGTCCGCGCTGGAGAGCGGCTGCTCGACGTCCTTGTCCTTCTGTCGGATGAGTCGACCGAGCGAAGCGACGCTGGCCCGGCGCAGGGAGCCCGACTTGGAAGGCAGACTCGAGGTGGGGGCAGCGAGCGACGCCGAGGCGGAGAGGCCATCGGAGGCGGTATCGACCGAGCGCACCTCTGCCACAGGCGAGGCGATCATCTCCTCGACCGGCTCGACGATGGTGCACTGCATCGCCATATCCTGGGCCGACGAGCCGCGGGAGGCGGCGTCGCTGAGGCGGCCCAGGCTCGGCTGGCGAACGGCGAGGGCGGCCACCTCGGCGAGCTCCTGGATGCGCGGACTGAGCGGCGATTTGGGCGTGAGGACCTTTTCGCTGTTATCACCGCCGCTGGTGGTGGAGACGAAGCTGTGGCTGGCCGTGATGCTGGGACTCTTTGCCGAGCCGGCGCGGAACATGTCCGAGGCGAGCGAGGTGGAGCGCGAGCCTTCCCAGACCTTGGGCAGCGGCGGCACGGGTGGGATGGCAGCATGCCTGGACGTGTCGGCCTCGTCGTGAGCACCGGCAGCGACGTCGTGTCGGCCGCTATCCGAGGCGAGTGCCGAGGCATCGCTGTTGCCACTCATGCGCTTGGAGCGAGAAGCGGTGCGCGCGATAGCAGGGTTCCCAACCAGCGGGCTGCCGGAAGCGGACAGGTCTTTGGAGATGCTGCTGCTGTTGACGGCCGAGGTTCGACGGGAGCCGCCGGTGATGTCGTTCTGCGGTAGCGGTGGGAGCTGAGACCGACGCAGACGTGGGCTGGAATAGATCGACGAGCGAGCCGAGTCGTTGAGAGGGCTCGGGTTGACTGCGCTGGCGCCGTTGCCAGCTGCGTCGTCGGCGGTGCGCATGCGAGTGCCCAATTTGGAGGCGCGCAGGCTGTTTCTGGCAGACGAGTCGTCCGAAACCCTGCTCCTGTCAATAGAGCGCGACGAGGAGTCGTAGTTGCTCGAGCGTCTGCTTCTGGAAGCGGGAGAAGAGGTGCGGCTACTGCGACCGGCGCTGTTGGGCCGCGACGGGACACGGCTGGTGCGCGGACTCTTTGCATCGGACTTGCCGTCGCGGCTGGCGCGAGGAGTGGTGCCGAGACCGTCGAGCTTGCGCAACGCATCGGCGGCAGCGTCTTCGCGCGAATGGAGGCGGCTTTCGAACTCGTCTGCATGGCCGAACGGGATGGAGCCTCGGAGGAGCGACTGGCCGATGCTGGCCGAGGAGGCGCGCTTGGCACGCAGCGACGCGCTGTTTCGCGAGAGGCGGGGCGTGCCCGGGCCGGCGGCGGATGCGCTTGTGTTGGCGCTGGAAGCGGCACCGCTGCTGGCGAGACGCTCCCTGCGCGCTGTGGTGGTGGCAGCGGCGGCGGCGGCGGAGCGCTGGCCATCTGCCGAGATGGATGGTGTGGCGGGAGTGTAAGAGGACGCGGACGGCAGCCGAGCACGGTCGAGCGACTCGTCGGGATGACGCAAGGAGCCGGAGCGGTGGCGGGTGGACGTCTTGGTTGGGGCGGAGGCACCCAATTCGGAAGCGTCGGACGCTGCGCGCTCGCGCAGCTGGCGACGGCGGTGGAGTTCATCGTGATCGTTGAGGAGGTCGGTGATGGCGGCGTTGAGATCGAAGCTCTGGCGCCACTCGTCGTCGCCAATGTCGTTGGCAAAGTTGGCGTCGCCAAAGGTCATGGACTTGGAGGCCAAGGCGGCGTCGGATCCAAAAGGACCTGTCTCGCCTGCGGCCCAGGAAAGGTCGCCGATGGCGGGGGAGCGCTCCTGGGCCGGGATGGCGGCGTCGGCGCGAGAAGCCGAGGCGTTGGAGGGCGTTGCCGAGACGTCTGCAGTGTCGGTGTGGAGGATGCTGTAGTCGGACTCTGTGCGTGCGCTGATGGAGAAGGAGGGGCTGTCTGGAGGTGCGGCGATGGTGGCGGCGACGTTGTCGAGCTGTGCGATAAAGTCGGACTGCTTGTTGTCCGGGTATGCGCGTGCGAGGGAATGGAGCGAGGCGCTGCCGGCGAGGGCCATGTGTCTGCCTGGCACGGACGGGCTGATGGGGAGGGTGGAGAGGAGCTCGTTGGGGTCGCGGAGCGCGGTGCGATGCAAGCTGGTGATGGACGAGTAGGAGATGGAGCGCGAGTGGCGTGCGGCGGCTTCGGCTCTGCGCGATGTCGGCTGCGAGTCGGTGGAAGTTTGGGAGTCGGCTTGGCGGAGGAGCGCTGAATCGTTGCTGTTGGGTACGGATGTGCTGATGGATTCGGGAGCGGTGCCGTCGTCGGTCATGGCGCTGCTGACGTTGCGACGCTGGATGTGCTTGGAGGCCGAGAGCGGGGTGGCGTTGTTGTTGGACTTCCACTCGGGTAGAGCGGTGGAGGGAAAGTTCCAGCGCGGAGTGGCGAGCTCGCCGATGCCGATCTGGCCAGCGCGGTCGTAGACGCGAGGGGTGCCGCTGGGGGTGCGACGCTGGTCGCCCAGCTTGTCCGGGGTGTGTAGGGCGACGGCAGCGGCGTGCCTGGACCTGTTTTCGGAGGCGATGTCGGGGAGGCCGATGCCTAGGCCGGCTGCTGCGTGATCGGAGCGTGCGGATCGTGATGGCAAGGAGGCGCCGCTGGGGATCCTGCCGAGCATCTTTGAGGGGTCGTCGGAAGCTTCTGGCGTGGCGATGGCGCTGG